GAACTACGTTAGAACTTTAATAATGAATTTTATATGAGTTGTAGATACATGTAGACTTATCTTTGCAATAAGAAGTTAAAAATATCGTTCAATTCTGATTACGTCTCTTTTCGAGAAACATAAATCGAAACTTGTTCAAGAGAGAAATATTAATCGGATATATATATATATATAGATCCCTAAAAATAAACGTATATTTAATAAATTTTCACGAGGATTTTTCTTTTTGTATTAATTGTACAATATATTAATAAAATTCACACGAAGACGAAGCGGCTGATTGATGAAGAATCTCACTGGTTCGAATCTCGTTGGTACTCCCTCCTCTCCCATTTCTTCCTTCCTTCCTATACCTAAAAATATAACAGCTGTCAATGCTTCAATAAATTTTAAATTGCAAATTACGGTTAATTATAGACTCACCTTTCCGAAAAGAAATATTAAATACTCGAAGCAAGGTGTAATCTTTTCCTCCTCGGAATATAAATCAAAATTCGAAAGGTTGCTGCGCTTAATAAGAGGATGGAGATGAACATCCCGAGCAAATAAATTACACCCAAGGCGAGAAAATTCAGGATTCCCAAGGTGTGAAAAGGATATTATTTCCTCGTAAATTCGATGGCTATTTACAAAGCGTGAAAACGGTCAGATCCGACCAACCAATGGTCGCCACTACGTGGATCCAATCACCTGTCCAAGCGTGCCTTGACGGCCACTTGACATTTAGAAAATTTGGCTGGTGAATACAGAGAGCGCCAAGTACGTTAACTTCACGGATAAATCGTTCTTCGACGATAAATCATTCGAGGGCGAGCATTCACCGAATAATAATTTACGAAACGTCCGAAATTATTCTTCCATGTAATGTTCCCCGATGACACAAAATAGCTCGTCTCACGTATCGTTCACACGCGCCGCAGCGCGTTGTGCGTTTACTCTCTGACGTTTGCTGTTCGTGCTCTCGACGTGGAAGATTTTGAAATTATCTTGTAACACGATAACCGGCACAAAATCGCTAAATAAAGAAACGCTTGGGGAACGCGCGTGTTGGCCGAACGAGGAAGAGGATGCGACGATCGACGTTATGGCAACCAGACGGTGTTAGGCAAATAAACCGAACTTAGGATAGGAAAAATATAGGATGACGTGGACACGTAGGGGGCATTTATCAAAATCGGAACTCACGTGCACTTTTCGTAAGAGTGAACGGAAAATTAGATTATGCGCTTGTAGACACGATGAAATATGGGTGCCAAGAATCTTCGGCGTTCGTTTATCTTCCGGATGTGTTTCCTTAATTCTCGTCGTCCTTAACTCTTGATTTATAACCACTGTTTCTGAACGATTTCTAAACGTGTATACGTATATCGTGTACGCGTCGAATAAACGAGTTGCATCTGTATTAATGAGTATTAATCTATGGACGTGTCTCGAAGAAGGGAAGAGTTAAAATTTTCGAGTTACAGATTATATAGTATAGTTTTTCATTTTGAGTCATAGAAAAATTCGAGATTATATTCGAGGTAGAAAAAATGGAGGAGGATACTACAGGTAGAGAATCTTTTCGTGTGATCTTCACGACAAAAAGGAAGAATTCTTCGTATAAAAAGGTAATTTTATTTTTTTCGATTTTTCTTCACATATTATTCAATCGTGGACAATAAATTATCTTCATCGAATGAAGTATACGCGAACAAGCGAATAGAAAATTCGATGATGCATAGATTCCTTTTAATTATCATCTCTGACATTTATCTGTGGTTCCTTTGATGGTTTCATTGCCCCTTTTGCTGCTTGTATATCTCAAGCGCACACTCGATTGCAGTTATTCAGGCGTCGACTAACGAATCACGACTCTCGTTATTAACTTTCGCTCTCGGCGATATTATTCAAGTTATACAATAAAATATTCCGTTTAATAATCGAATAATGTGAATTTCACTTTGTTTTCATTGTAATAATTGTTAACAATCGTCCTCGTGTTTTAATTTTTATCCGAATCTCCACGTCTCCGTCTTCGATTAGATGTTCGAAAGCGACGTTTTCCCAAATTTCAATCATGTGCAACCACACCAATCGAAGTATTTGCGCTTGGTATACGAAACTCGTGTCAATCGTAGCCCTGTCCATCTTGATTAACCCACTGTGCAATTTAATCGTCACCACCGGTCATAACTTCCATAAATTCTAAAACCAAAAATTAGAATTCATGAAACACTATCGTGTCTGCAACGATGTTGAAATTGCGGAAACGCATATCGTAAAAAAATATATATATAATCACACTAAACATGACACTAAATAAACATTTCAGAGAATTCGAACTCGTAACGTCGATAAAAAGAAAAACATTTGTATGGCTCGAATGGAAATTGTTTGAAACGTTGTCTACACGACAAGCGATTAATTAATTCAATCAGATAGAATTCTTGGCAAACCGCGTCGAAACGTTATGCAATTTTCGCAAATACGTGTTGTTCAACTTTTCGTTTGTCTTCCGTGCGAATCAATTAATTGGATCGATCGACGACGTTATGAAAATTTCTAGGATAAGCCCGCCTACCGTCGAAGTCGAGCGTTCCAGAACCGTCGGCATCGATTTCCTCTATCATCATGTCCAGCTCTTGCGGAGTCAATTTATCGTCCAATTCGTGAAGAATGTCGCGGAATACTGCGGTGGTTATGTAGCCGTTTCCTTCTTTGTCGTACAATCGGAATGCCTCGCGTAATTCCTGCTGCATAGCCTCCGAATCTTCCTCTACTAAGAATCGGGCGGCTAGGGTGCAGAACTCTTCGAATTCTAATTGGCCGGATCCTAATTGGACGGGGAGGAAAAATTAATTATTAAAACTCTTCTAAATTGTTCTGTAATAGGTAAATGAAATTTTTGGAGTTTTTTTTTTTTTAGCGAAGTAACATAAGGGTTAATAAGAAAAGGGTTGAAAGTCGGAATTAAGATAGCGATGATTTTGTTCAAGTTTATTCTTCTCACCATCTTCATCAACTTCAGTGATGATCTCTTTCAACGTCTTCTCGCTGAGCTCGTAACCCAACATGGTCAATATCGTACCCACCATGTCGGTACCGATGCTACCCTTTTTGTCATGATCGAAGGCGTCGAACGCTTTCTTCAAAACTATAACGAAATGACGTATAAAAGTATAAATGTTATTTATCAAGAATTAATCGTAACAAGGGAGAGAGAGAGAGAGAGAGAGAGAGCAATACTTACGAGCAATTTGATCCTTGGTCAGATCATCCTGAAACCATTTTATCAAACGTTAAAAAGAAATGTTTACAAATTTTATGGAAGTTTGATTAAAAATGTGGCGGAGAAATATTACAATGGACGATTTTAGAGAATGGTTAATGTTTACATTGGCTCGGTATTTATAAAAACGCACCATGATGAAGCAATAGGTGTACGGTTTTAGAGTCTGTTAACGCACACGACACCGTCGACGGTTTATCCGGGTATGCACCAGATTCTGGCTGTGGACTTCTGTTTTATGTGGACATTAGGATGATCTGGCACGTGATTGACCGGGTAATATCTACGTAGGAACTCTAGTGGTTTTCAAATTCATCGAGGACACTCCCCACTCTCACTTTCCGCGAAACAGGGATTTCAATTGTGCAAAATTCGAGGCAACGTACTCAAATTTTTCATTGTTATACCGATACTATTGCAAACGGAAGGATTTAGCACGATATCTGTGCGAGTAATTTTTTTTCAATTTTCTCAATTGTCGAATATTATTTAATCATCCAAAGATTCGAATATTGTTCTCAAACAGTATCGATGATTATTTCGCGAGATTATACTCGGCTAGATTTTCTTTTTTTATTACATTTTACTAAGAAATTTCTTTTTCTTTTGTATTTACAATTACTTATTACTCAATTTCGTAACAAAGGATTATTAACAACAGTGATTATAAAAAAACTCCTGATGTTTGAAATTGAATAAATTTCAATCCTTGTATATAATTAAAAACACTTAATTACCGAATTATCGCTCTTCATTATCGGTTATTTACTTTAATTCTATGCAGCATATAATTCCAATCATTTGCAAGTCAATAAGAAAAAATTACATCACTCGGTACCATATTTATCGCGGGATTTCGAACGTGTATATAACCAGGAATAACTGGACTGTGAATATTTACACCATTTAATGTAACGTAAAAATGTATAACAGGAATAATACAACGTAACAACGTATGTAAAAAATATTTTACGAACGAAATCACTCATTACGATAGCCGAGCGAGTATAAAACGATAATTTCCATTCCATTTTATTTCTATGTTTCAAATATAAATTCGTCTTGGCGATTAATTTATCCACGATTTAACAATAACTCATCCTAAGCGAGAGAATACTTCACTATTGTGCAAAAACGTTCGTTTCGCAACAATACTTCAGGGAATTTCCGCCATAATCCGCGATTCACGATCAATATGGCTCTACAATAGACGAAATTGGCTCGTGGCCGGATATCGTGCGATCTTCCGAGACAATTCGACGTAATAAGCATATCTATCTGTATTTTTAGAGAGCTAATTATACATGTGCATAGTATCTAAGGCCATAGCTAAGATATTTAAGGGATATCAAATGATATCGATTTTGCTGGCATTTTGCTCGTTTCCCATCTTCCTTATTGTTAAACTCTTCTTGGTGAAAATTCCTTCGATCCGTGAACAATCATTACACGAGCCACTACGAACGAAATCTCGAAGTTATATTTGCTATAGACGTGCTCGAGGACGCACGTGTTACTACACGAGCCGGTCGAGTGATATCTTGTGTATTTAATTTTAATTGTACTTGACGTTGCAAAATAATATTTTATATAATTTTCGTAATGGAGAACTCGTGGAAAGGGATGATTTAATTAAAAGAGATGATCGAAGAGTAATTTATTTCTTTATGTTCTCTCGATGATCTCGTTATTGGTATTGGTAAAAAAAAAAAAATAATAATAATAATAATTGGGCAATTGTCATTGCACGCCATGAATGAAATGACATGCAAATATAATATAAAGAAGGGCAAATAAATTACACGATTTATATTTGCTATTTTTTTGTACTTTCATTCTTTTTATAATTTTTTTTTTTTTTTTTTTTTTTTTTTTGTTTCAAATTACTTTATACTTAAACTTATACAATTTTATCATTATAATGTCGTTCATGAGTATTATGACGGTCGTTTCGAGAACAAAATATGAAGTTTTTCCAATCTTTCGCGAAATTCAATCAAACATCTTCTCTTAATTGATACGATACAACGAACAAAATGAGAATTCGTTTCGATCCCGATCAATGGAAGAGAAACAAAAAAATAAAACGGTCAATTTATGTTAATATAAACTTGTTTCTACGTGAACCATAGATCCTCGTTGAAGATCTTTGGGGTTCCCAAGTTTAATTCCGGCGCATAGATAGAAATACATTTCAGCCGATCGTGAGTCCAAAACTCGACCGCGCATAAATATTTTCTCTTACAGTTGCATTATAAGCATCACCATCCCAAGAAACGTCACCTACGAACCTTTAACTTCATACTTTGCCAACATTATCTCGATAAATCGCGCGTTTTCCACGTGTGTAGTAAAGGCATCGTCGTTTATATATGCGCCTCTCGTGGCGACCGACCACGAGGGACGACCGCCTCGTGCCAAGGTGATAATTTAACCTGTCATGACCTCCATGAATTCTGAAATCGTGAAACGATCTTTCTTTGATTCTTCGAATTACATTCGTAATTTCGTTAAATATAACACGATCCTTTCGATGGATTCATCTAGCAGACGAATGATATGATGTAGCAACAATTGTAACATTGTAACGATCCGACATTTTCTTCTTATTTTCACTTTCTTGGAATAATCAACACATCTTCATCTCTATGAGTCTCGCTCATAACGAACTTAATGGATCAATTTTTCTTAATTAAAAAAAAATATATATATAAAATAAAAACGTTCTCAAGTTTCTCTCGTTTTCACCTCTCCTGCCAAATCACATGGTTCGTCTGCACAAATCTTAAAGAATCACTTGTACACGTACCCTCAAAGTCGACCGTGCCTGAACCATCAGCGTCCACCTCATCGATGATCATGTCCAATTCCTCGGGGGACAGCGCGTCATCCAATTCGTGAAGAATGTCTCTAAACACATCGGTGGTGATGTAACCGTTTCCCTCTTTGTCGTACAAGCGGAACGCTTCGCGCAATTCTTGCTGCATAGCCTCTGTGTCCGTGTCCTCTTCCATGAATCGGGAGGCTAAGCTACAAAATTCTTCGAAATTCATTTCCCCGGATCCTGAGGAGCGAAAGAGCGATCGATTTATTGGAGAGATCTGTACGATTGATCGATTTCTCTGCAAAATTATTTATTTCCAGATATGCATAGATACCGAATGGATCGTATTCAGCGATGACCGAGATGAGTTGCGCGGATGGAATTTTCATCCCCATCATACTCAAAATGGTGCCGACTGTGTCGGTGGTGATTGTTCCCTTCTTGTCGGGATCGAACGCTTCGAAACCCATTTTCAACTCTGCAAAGTTGAGAATAAAAAGGAAAAAAAAAAAGATACGGAACTTTGTTAATTTTAAATCTTTTGAAAGAAAAATTTATTTAATAATTTTTTCCTTTCTTTCTTCTTGGAAAATTATATACTCACGTGCGATTTGATCTTTGCTGAGTTGAATCTCATCCTAAAAATGAGTAAAATCGTTTCGTATTTATTAATAAGACTTGTTAATTGTAACAATTACCATCGATAATTTTTTACTTTACGTATTATTATTATTAGAATCGAATATTCTTTAAATTTAATAGAAAATCCAATAGTTCTTTTTTTTTATAATTACCATTTTGACGATATTATATTAAGAAATTTAATCACAGAATCACAGAAAAGTTATCACAGAATTAAAATGATTAACAGTTCCCCTCTGAACAATCGCTTGTTACTGTACCGATGGAATTGTCACACTGAGCCTTACTAAATTAATTAGTAGAGCTGCACAGACGCAATCACGCATTCTTATTAGCGTCGATAAACAGTCACCAATCATCTGTCGAGCTAAAGATACTATAAAAAGATTCTTAATTGGGACCCTTTGATGGTTCACGCTTTGCGAAACGTATAGTGTTTTGGCTGAACGAAATCGATGACAAAAAACTACGTCGATGTTTAAATCGATTTTTACTCGTATATTCCCTTCGAGAGTTAATTCGATGATTACTTTACTACATTTACATTCATTCCTTCTTAATAAAAATTAAAAGAAACTTTCTTCTATAATCGTTCCTCGGATCAGAGAGAACATTACATAGAAGAACAATTTTAATATAAATTTTAAATTTGTTACGATTATTCCGTGGCTACGAATTTCTCGAGTCCCATTTTTTGAAAACTGCGAATTCAACGAATATCGCGTATATTTTTATTGCGAAAAAAAAACCGATATCCGAGAAGAAATATTAAATAATATCCAAAATCATCGATTCATCGTTTCGCAACCATCATCCGTCATCCTCCGTCGTCGCTTTTAACAAAGTGAAGCGAGGAAATTGAAAGTGAACGCAATTGGAGACAATTGAAACAGATAAATTTCACCCAGTGATGATTCATCCCAAGTTCGCGAGTTTGCCGTTTTGCCGCAAAGGAGGGGAAATGGAGCACTTTGTTACATCATTTGGCAATGTCAAGCTCACCGCGAATCCGGAACTGCGATTGGCAGGGGCCGTAGAAAGCCGATGACGCGGTGTTGCGTACAGCACCGGTCATTTCCACGGCACACGGTGGGCGAACACGCAAACGATTATACCGATTGCGAGCTAGTCGATCCAATACAGCGGTTTGATATTGGCATTGCGTCCTTTTAGAGTGATTGCAGTGGATTGCCAGCCGCGCGCCAGAGCGTGCAAAAAAGCTCGCCTGGCTGGCACCCGCTTCTCAGAAGAGAGAACCCGGAGAGACCGAATCTTGACCGACCTCCTTCGGCCAATCGGATCGGGAGCCTTCGACGATCTCCACCGACTACGAACTACTGACCTAATCGTCAAAAATAAAACGACAGACACGGCCAATGATAATAATCGGCCATTGTGGTTGGGGAATAGTTCGGGCAATTTTGCAATTTTCCAATAAACGGGAACAGTACAGGGATAATCGAACGAATCGACCGATTCAAATTGTTTTCTTTCTTTTTTTTTTTTTTTATTTCCGTCGATCGAGAGTAACCTCTTTCATTCTGGTTATAATAGGGGGATCGTTGAGATATTGACATTGACACGCGTATCTTTGGGCTGTACGCCAGATTTAACGAAAGTCGATCCGAGAGACGAGGCGAGAACGGACGGGTTTAGCGTTTCTCAACTAACTAATCATTTTTCTCGATCGTATCTATCACTAAGTGTGTATCGTCGATGGATCGTTGCGATTATTCGTGGAAAATTACACGAGAGAAATTTATAAGTATAATTATTTATACTAATTTTTTTAATTTTATAATTATTTTAATGAATAATATAACATAACTTACAAATAAATTACTAAATAATTATATATATAATTTAATTTTTAATCATAAATTAAAAATAAATTTATAAATATAACTTCCAAACCAAAAATTTTATAAATTAAAAATAAATTTATAAGTATAACTTCCAAACCAAGAATTTTATAAATTAAAAATAAATTTATAAGTATAACTTCCAAACCAAGAATTTTATAAATTAAAAATAAATTTATAAGTCTTTTCCATAAGACGAAACGAATTTCTCTGTTTCTGCTCGTCAATTTTTTCCAAGACATTTTCGAAGACTATTTTCTTATATTTCCTATTCGTGATTTATATTATTGTAATTGTATCATCAAGTTCGTTACAACTTTTCAACAATTTGCTCGAACAATGCTTTCTATCATATCTTCTCTGAGAGTAATAATTTAAACTAGTATAATAATAGAGTAATAATTTAAAGTTAACGTTCCACGTTGAAACGTTCCACGTTGAGAAACGCTGAGCCACACACGCTCTCGCGCTGTTGCGAAACGCGTGTAAGAAGCCCGAGTAAACGAGATTCGAGATCATCGTTTAATTCTCGTAAAACAGGTCGCGGTCCAATAATAAGTATCGAATATCAGGAAAATTAAATTAGACCGTGAATACTTGGTAGGCACGCTCGTATTTGGAATCGGTTCCTGAAACAGATGGAATCATGCGGGAAGGATGAGGCGGAACCGGAGGAGCGATCGACTTCCGTCTCTCCAGCCCCCACAAATCCAATTGAGTCTCGTTCGTCTCCATCGGCGATACGTAACTATTTCTATCGCTCTGCGAGCTCGCTCTAGATCTCGACGCACGTCGAGGAATCCCAATCGGGGGCAATGGCGTAACGTATCCATCCTCGTGCGACTTGCCGACACAAGACCGCCGCCTCTGCCACTTCTGGTTCGCGTCGACGCCTCTGGGAAGCACAATGGCGTCCACGTTCCAACGTTTCACCAGCATCACGCGTTTGCTGCCTCGAAGCAACGTCGGGTATCGCCTTATCAGCAGAAACGAGAGGAAACCGCCCACGAAGAAGAGGAGGAGCAACGAGGCGATCGATAAAGAAAGGACAAGTGTTTTGTCAGCGTTCGTCAACCAGGTCCTCGACTCGTAAGCGGGCCTTGTAGTCACGGCCAAACAATTCAACGGGGATATAAATCTCCCGTTATCGTCGAGCAAACAGATCGTGTACGTCGTCTGCGGATCGATATCCTCCACGAGATAAGACCGTTTCGCGTTTCTCGCGCATCTCACGGAGCTGTACACGTTATTATTGTCGAACCAGAGCAGAGTGACGCCAGATTGGGTCAGATTGGGGAGGTTCACCAGTATGCTGGTGTCTAGGATCTTGGAGACGTAGAAATTGGGAAATCGGGGGTAGAGTTGAACGTCTGTCGTCGACTGCAACTTGCGCGAGTTGTAAGTTTGTAGGAACGTGTCGGTAGCGTTACAAGGGACACGGATTTTGTCGTTGCTGTTGTTGGTGGTAGAAGATATTCGAGGGGTCGAGGTGCGGTCGTTTTGATTCGAATCGTGTTCGACAGATCCTGATAACTCTGTACTCAGCATCGTGGTAGGGATGGTAACGGAGGACTCGTCGCAAGAGAAATTCGCCACAGCGAATGATTTTCCAGCGTTCGTAGGTGGAGTGTTGCAAATTGGATTGTCTATCATGCTCGAATGATCCTCCACGAAATCTTGCATCCATTTTAAGTTGCAATCGCAGTGCCAAGGATTACCTTGCACGTATATATGGAAACGTTTAGCTGAGCTGATCGCCGAATCTAACAGTCCCTCTGGCAATGATGTTATCCTGTTTCTGTACAACGTCAGAAGCAATATGGACGAAGCCATCGGTTTCAAGACGTCACGGGACACTGTCGCGATGTCGGAGTCGTGCAGGTAGAGGGACTCGATTTTTGACACCCCTGAGAATAATTTCTCGTCGATCCTGGATATAACGTTTCCGTATAATGATAACAATTTTAACTTGAACAACTCGTCCGCGCCCGTTATGTTCTTAAGCACTTCTCGATCGTTGATGGCTTGGCACAGTTCCAGGTTGGTCAAAGAACCCGCAACCTCCTCGAGCAGATTAAATTCGGCCGACTTGACCATGTTCTCCTGTATACTCAGCTCTTGCAATGCCTCGAGGTGACGAAACATCGCCTTGCGCAAAGAAGCGATCTTGTTGTTGACGATCATGATCTTGCTCGTTTTTTCGTAAATGGGCGAGGCAAACGCGTCGTCCTCTATTTCTTTGAGGGAGCATCGGTTCAACGTTAACTCCTCGATCGACAAGTTGACGCTCAGCCAATTCTTTCGAAGCGTGTTGTCCGAGAATTCGCAATCTTCGATGGACAACTTCACAGATTTCGCATTCTTGCAGTTTGCCTGCAGCGAAATTTTAATAATAATGTTACGCAACTGCTGCTTGGGAACGGAGGAAATTAATTTTCAATTATAAAATAAAAAAAGAAATATGGATCGTTGATTGTAATCGTAATAAATATTTTTTTCATTATACTGCTATCTGAAATCTGATTGAAACAAGTTGCAATTTCATAGCGGTAACGCACAGTAATATTCGGCGAGTTTATTCCTTTTAATGATGCAATACACGTCATTCCTTGCATTTCCTTTTCGTCGAACGCAAAATTATTAGTTATCGCTACGAAATTACAACAACGAAATCCTTTATCCAACTCAAATGCACGTAAATGGTTGGAAAAATAGAAACGGAATTAGAAATATTTATTATTGATCTCTCTACCTTAAAATCATTCTCAATATAGGTTGACACCACTGTTTCGATATTAGCCTCTCTCGGGATGGACGTGCAAATTATCGTGTCGCATGATTTAATCTGGCAATACGAGCTCGCCGATACTTTTCTTTCCTCGATCTTTCTATTCCCCAAAGATTGTTGAAATTCCAACGATTTTCCAATATACGTATAATTTCCAATATACGTATAATTTTCAATATACGTATAATTTGTTACTCTTTTAGGGAAGGCATTGGTATCCGTAATCTTGTAGTTTAACATATTGAAAAATATGTAGCATGACCAGAATAAAAGTAGAGCGATTCCAAATGTCGAACCAAGAACTAGAAGTCTTCGCCAAACAAAACTGCACGCTCGTTAACGTGCAAAATGATTATTTTTATATCTGATCGAATTGAAGACTGAATGGAAAAATATTCTTTCCTTCGAGTAATCAATCGTTAAATATCGAATAATCAACTTTTTTATTTTTTTTCTAAATTTTAATTTTAATTTCGCGGTAAAATACAGATTTTCTCTTTTTTTTTTTTTTTTTTTTCGTATCCAGTCTTCAATTAAAAGTTAAAATTTGCGCAACAGATAAAAAAAAATGAATTTTTTCGTTCGATACCTTACTAATTCCTGAGATTTCGAGATCCCGGTCGAAAAGTTTCTTAACTTTTTACCGAACATGTACGCGCCTTGTCGATACTTCACGAAGGAACAACAATT